CCAACAGTTTATGTTCCGGTTTGTCATTTTGATTTCATTTTCCAAACAGAGCGTAAACATGTTGGGAATCTTTCGCCCGTATTTCATCACGTAATCGTCCTGGTAACCACCTTTTCGATCTTGTTGGTGGGTCTGAAGAGTGATGAGGAATTACAACATGAAACCACACAACTCTGCTCATTATGGTCTGTAATGTAAACGCAGTGTGGAGACAGAGAGGGCGTCGTCACGGGAACAGAGCGATGAGTCAGCAGAAACCAAAACTCTGGTTTACCGTTATTCAATAATAAAATGATATGTTGAAGAATAAAACTAAACGCCTGATAAATATAACTTTGTATGATGGTTTTAGACGCTCAATTTAATTTATTACATTTTTTTCATTCATTCAAATGTATATTTTGTTTATATTTCTTAAGATATCTGTTGCTAATATTATTATTATTATTTATTTTTTTGTTATTAATTATTTAACTTATATTGTTTTTTCTTATTATTTTACATTATTATAATTTATTTGTTATTATTATTTATTTTATTAATTATTCAACCATTACTGTACATTTTTTGTTATTATTTTACATTTCGTTATTGTATTATTATTGCTGTATTTATTATTTAATTTATTTAATAATAATAACAATTGATTTATTATTATAGTTAATTTGTTTGTATTATTCTATATTATTTTATTTTATTTGTTTTTCTAATTATTTATTATTATTATTATTATTCCTTATTTATTTGTTTTCAATTATTTAACTAATTTCTTTTTTTAATTTTATTATTATTTTACATTATTATATTTGATTTGTTATTGTTATTTATTTTTATTAATTATTCAACCATTACTGTACATTTGTTGTTATTATTTTATATTTCATTATTATTTTATTTGTATTATTATTGTATTATTATTGCTGTATTTATTCTTTAATTTATTTAATAATAATAACAATTGATTTATTATTAAAGTTAATTTGTTTGTATTATTCTATATTATTTTATTTCATTTGTTTTTTTAATTATTATGAGTTTATTTAGTGTTCATTATTTTTCCACTGGTGTTTTGACCAGTCTCGCCTACTGTTAAATGTATAGTATAAAAACATTTGAATATTCTAACATATATATATTCTGCTCAGCCGTCCTAAAACCGAAATAAGTGTCACATTAAATAAAGACCAGCTGTTTTCTCCTCATGTCTCCAGTTGTTTGCAGAGTCGTCTGGCTCCGAGCTGCCAGTCTCCATCGTCTCCCTCTGGATGTTTTCCAGACTAAACTGAACCTGATTTGGTCTTTATCCTTCATTTCAGATCAAAACAAACACTATCTCTCCTCAGCTGAGAGAAGAAGGAGACATGTTCCCAGTCTGGACGATCATTGACCGACAGCAGGGAAACTGTAACTCCTGTTTCTTGATAAATACAAGGTGAGAACAGCTGTGGTGAAAAGTATGAATTCCTTTGAGTGTGAGGGTGTTTCTCAATGTCGAGGACGCTTCCTTGGTAGGACATGTCCCTCCGAGTCAGGTCCTTCAGAAGCGATGCAAGAATCCTTCCTAGCCTCGGAAAACAAAGAATGGTGGAACAGGCTGTGGGAGGTGTGCGTCATATGCGAGGCCCCGCCTTAAATTGGTCCGTTCGCAAAGCATTGTGGG